GCATTCAGTATATTGCTTACCAGAATCTATAATCCACTGTCTGCCACTTCGATGTTTGATCAAATCGGATAACATTGTAGTGTAAGCCATTTTAATAGATGCTGGCAAGTCATCATCGTGAAGTTTAAAAACATTGCACAGTCTATTGTACACATCCTGGCATCGCCAGTAATGAAAACGTAATTCATTACGTGAAATTATTCCCACAAGTTTCAAAGTAAACACACTTATAGACTGAGGAGGTTTGCAATCGGAGTTCCAAATGTTCAATGCTCTCAACACCCACTTTTGGAGTAATACACAATGCTCGTAATCGTCCGATGTACCTGAAATTAACGATTTTTAAAAATAATAACAAAATATAGCAAGTCAAACTATGCATTAACATAAAATAAAATAAATAACGTCAAAGAAGTGTAACGAATATAACCAAACTTAATACGAAACTTTATATTGTACGATTTTATGAATGCACTTTATAACATGGTATCTAATCTATTTCCTTACACTCTTTTATATTCTGAGAAATGTGGGTTAACAGGAGATCAAGATAAGTAGTAGATGCAATGTTATAATTAGGTAACAGAAACAATTCCAAAACTTCGGATAACCTTTCACTGTTCTTTAATGATGTCATTATGCTCTCGTATTAAATTCTCAATAATTATGCGAAGATACTAGACTGTTACTTGAGTTTTTTTTTTTAAACTACATATCTTTCATGCAGTCTACCGTACGTCGATAATATTTGAGCATGTATTTACACACTTTCAATACGCATTGCATTCAGAAGTGCGTGTTATTTAGAACACTTATATTTCCTAGAATTTCATATCTCGGAAAACGTGTGTAAAGAGAAATTATCATTCTTTAATCATATATAGTAAAGTAAAACCAGGTAAAACTTGCATAAATCGGAGTAAAGTTCGAAAGTTACTATTGTTGACCACTATGGATACGATAGATATAAGTTTGTTTACTTTATCTGCTACTGGCGGTCGTTTCAAACTTACTGTTAGTAATCGCTTATAATTTACATAAAATAAACATTGTTACTCCACAGTAGCTTTAGCATTATTCAAAACATTTATATTCTAATAACATGAACAGATTTCACTATGAGTATCATATGATACTCTCACCATGGCACACCGATTGAGAGGCACTGATACACACATGTATGTACAATAAAGTATTACTCGTGTTTTCACACATTGTTACGAGCAACTGTTAATATTACATACTTATATATCATTATCAGAATTAGATACGTAAAATATGCCTCTCAATTTTAATCTACTTATAGTTAGTTCTGTTTTATTCCAATCAAAATAAAACTATTTTAGCTCGTACGTTCTCACGTTCTTACATTATATTCGAAGTAGCATTATCATTTACTTTCGCGATGACTACTTGAAACAAGAATTTCAAGTAAGAATTGTATTTAGCTCCGATTTATATGGACGCATAATTATGCATATGGAGGTGGAAGAAGTTGAGAACCGTTAATGCGTTAATGCTGAAATTGATACGTTCCCGTGTTCCCGTCAACTTTTCCGTGGTTTTTCTCAGATATTCGTAGACGTGACACTCCTACAAGAGGAAGAGATTGGTTTTATCATACTATTATCTTTATAGGACAATGAACTTTGTTACCTTGTATATTGTAAATACAAAAGAGTGTTTCTGACTTGGTCATTCTTACAGTATGATAATTTTACTGCAAGTCTATTAATCGTGTTGTGAAAACAAAGGTATTTAATTAGAATTCGTTTAGTCCTCGCAATGTTTGTTTTAATAGATTAATAGCTTTCATTTAGTTGTATTTATTATTGTGCTATGAAACATATTTATCGATTAAGAATATTGTGCTTGTTGTAAAATTATAACAATCAGTAAGAAGTTAAATCTGTTCAACTTCTTGAGAAGTTTATCTGCTTGTGTGACATTTATTGGCTTTAATACATATCTAATCTACCAAAAACTCGAAATTATCGATAATACAATTTATAAAGTAACAGCAACTAAGATTTCTATGCAGTAATAGCAAAAACATTTGGCTACCATTCTTTCCACGTTTTATTCCGTGTAACGTACGATAAATCGTACTCAATCTTTATTCGTGAATACGTCTTGACTGTTTCGTTATTCTTTATATTTTGAAATTAATTCTTTGTATTGCAATTTACACTAAGAAGCGTATGCATCTGTAACTATACATTATAAAATTATTCATATTGTTTATTTCTTCAAACTTTAATATTTAATGGATACAAATGTTAAAGAACAATACTATTGATGAATCATAATAGCATGAATAACAAACTGTTTCTGTGAACTTTTTGATCAGCATTCTTAATAGAAAAAATATATTAGGTTCAACTTAGAATTTATCTATCCATGCTAATAATAGATTAAAATATTTCACTTTTTAGAATGTGCACACATATTAAACCTATGGAACATTTGTATGTGGTCTGACTAGATTAGATAGCCATAGTGAGATTCTTTAGTTATCTGAAACAACACTATAACATTGCTTCACATTATCCGAGTTTGTGATTCTTGAAACAATTTTGTCACTATAGAGTAACTTTGCACTCTGGGCAGTGTTTTAATACTTGTTCTGTATAACTTTATGAATTTTATTTCCAGAATTTTATACATAACTAAAAATGGCATGGACGCGTTACCAATGTATTTTAGCTGCTTTGATGGTTGTTACTGGATCATTTAATACTTTGTCTGTGAAGTAAGTAGCAAAATTGAGATAAATACAAAATTATTGAATTGAAATATAATTAATTTAAAAAAATGACAAAAAAAATTATTTGTTGACTTCATTTAAATATAATTGTTTGTTAGACCAACATTCATCCACAATACTGTATAACTATGTATGCCTTTGTGGCTTTAATTTAGATTTGCAGATAAACAAGTTGTACCAAGTGAAGATGGAGAAGCTAGACATTTTAATCATCCTTTTATGCAGTCTTGCTTCATGTTTGTAGGAGAGATGATGTGTTATCTATTATTCAAAATTGTTTATTGTTATTATAGTCGAAGAGGTGTAAGTTTCATTCATTGGATCCACATATATTAATATTTATTAACTGCAAAATATTTAATATCAGAATTATCTAATTATAGGATAGATCTGTGCAGAATAATCCTTTGACTAAAGGCTCATCTACATTTAATCCTTTTATTTTACTTATTCCTGCATTATGCGATACATGTGCTACATCTATTATGTATATTGGCCTGAATATGACATATGCAAGTAGTTTTCAAATGTTGCGTGGTGCTGTTATTGTATTCACTGCTGTGCTTTCTATGGGTTTTCTTGAGAGAAAACTAGGTATCCGAGAGTGGATTGGTATAGCAATGGTTATAATTGGTTTAGCTGTTGTTGGATTCAGTGACATAATTAATGCAAAAGATTCACAAGTTGACAGCAACTCTGTTTTAACTGGAGACTTACTTATTATATGTGCACAGGTAATATTATACTTTAAACAATTTACGTGTCTTTTACACTTTTATAACAAAATCTGTTTGTATCAAATATACAGTAAATACATATAATTATTATAACAGGTTATAACTGCTGTTCAAATGGTGATAGAAGAAAAATATGTAACTGGAAAAAATATACCAGCACTTCAAGCAGTTGGTTGGGAAGGTACTTTGTAATAATTATTAAGTAGAAAATGTTCAGTTGTAGTAAAACTAATACATAAAAATATACTTCTTTTACAGGTATCTTTGGATTTATTAGTATTTGCCTCTTAATGATTCCTCTTAATTTTATACATGCATCACCTCCATTTGCTGACAATTCTCAAGGGACACTTGAAGCCACTAAAGATGCTTTTATTCAAATTGGAAATAGTAGTAATTTATTGATGGCAATAGTTGGTCAGTATATTTATTATAAATGAATTGAAGCGTTAGAAACAACTTCACAAATTTGGATGACTGTATTATTTTTCTACAGGCATTGCATTTAGTATAGCTTTTTTCAATTTTGCGGGCATCAGCGTTACCAAAGAACTGAGTGCTACTACAAGAATGATTTTAGATAGCGTTCGAACTTTAGTTATATGGGTTTTCTCTTTAGCATTGGGCTGGCAATATTTCCATTACTTACAGGTAAACATTGCAATATCTGTTTCTGCATCTACTTCATAAATGTTCATACGAATTTAATACGTTTACTGTTATGTACAGGTTATTGGTTTTGCTGTGCTCCTCATTGGAATGTCATGTTATAATAATATCATTATCCCTCAATTAGTAAGAAAATGTATATATCAGGTAGGCCGACATAGACGACCTCCCAGTGACCGAATCATTAATGTAGTGGCAGAGGATCCTCCAGAAAATATGTGATATTTATATTGCTCTTCGAATTCACTCGAATGTTAACCGTTTCGTGATATTAAAAACTATTCTATGTAGTTTTTGTAAAGAACGGTAAAGCCTGTGATCTTATCGATATACAAAATTAGCCTTGCTTTGTAAGATTGATTATCGTATTTTTATGGCTATCAAAAGATTATTAAAATTAATAACATTAGCAATAATCTCTACCAATAGAAATTAATTGAAATACAAATTCAAAAATTTACTATATGAAATAAGTATTTTTGCAGGTTTTTATGTAAGCATACTATACGAATATATCAGTCATTTTACAGGTGCTTTGTACTTCCGTTAAAATCTATACATAATATCCAATACTAATCGTTCCTAGAAAAAATATTTTGAATGCTAATTAGTATACATAAAAATATTATTTCACCGTTAACATAAGAATTAAAAAATTAATGTTTAATAAAATACTGAAATTTGTAATAAATTTGCGGACATAATTATTGTAACTGAAATGCGAATATTTGACAACTACTTACTTTTTATTCTAATTAAGCACATTAAATCATGTATTTTATCATGATATTCTTTTGTTCTTATACTATGTGAATAATATTGCAAAATAATCTTTATTCCTTTATTTCCATTTTGTATTATTAAGATATTACATCTTTTATTTATGAAAATACTGACACAAGGCAACCATTCCCTACATTTTATCTACAATTAACATAGTATTAGATTTCAAGGTTTCAGTATGACTAAATAAGAAGTTAAGGATAATGCTTAAATATTGAACATATTTTATTATTTTGCATACTTTATACGTAAATCATAAACTACCTTGTGCAGAGAATTGTTGATGTAGCATATACACATATATAATATGTGCGTACCATCACATTTTTTTTATACACACGTATGTAATGGTATACACGTATGCGTACACATACATGATTAAACCCATCTAATAGAAAGCTCCTCAAATAATATTTATATCTTCATTTATCGGAAAAAATATATTTTGTGCTATCTTAGATAAATTACGCCAATAAAACCTAATTTATTAGTACTGCACATTGGTCGACAATTAATCGTCGAATCTTTCCGATTTGTGTCCCACGTTTTTGGCTAAATAAAAAATGCTCTATGGAATGTTTAATTATATGAATAATATTTGTTATTTAACGTGTGTCTCATTCTTTATAAATTACTGTCGACATAAAACCTTTGAACCGCGGTTTCATCGAATACAACTTCGATCCGCGACAATGAATATATTCATAGTATATTATACGATAGCTCACAAGCATCTGTTCTAAAAATTAATCTGTCTTTTACGGCTATGAGCTAGCACGTATAACATGACCATTGTAACTATCTAAACTTTAAATGAATTCGTAACATTTATTATGCGTTTACGACAGACAATGCAAATGAAAGATGAATTCAATTATATTGTTCCGGCAATACATAGGAAATGTCATCCCAAGGATGTCTGTATAGGCCTTGTTTCAATCTCTTTTGATCCATATAATGACCTGTATCAAAAAAACAGTATTATATCATAGTCGAGCACAATTTTGTACGAATAATTCGAAAATAAGTACTTACCAATAAAACCTATGCTCCTACCGAGAACGAACAAACTATTTATAGCACCAATTTCGATATATTCCTGTGCTTCTTCTCTAGTAAAACTTCCGCTATTCCTCAACATATCCACAAAGGCACATGCAATCATACCATCCACGTTAAGAATTAGGTTAGGTTTCTTACTCGTAGTTATCTTTTCAACTTCCAATGCATATTCAACCAACGGCTTAGCAGGGAAATTCTCCATTACGAATTCTTTGATAAGCTTTACTCGCATATCTGGATTATTTATTGATTTTATGCGATGGCCAATACCCATAATAAGTTGACCCTTTTTACGTGTATTATTCACAAATTCTTGTGGATGTAATCCAGCATCGTAGGCTTCAGAAAACATACGAGCCGCACCATCTAATGCTCCACCGAAACGATCACCCTGTTGTTAACATTTGTATAAAATTTAGAACTAGTTTTACAAAAATATATAGAACAAAAATGTTACAAAATGTCGTGTTTCGCTTACGATAGTTAGAAGTCCAGACACCAAAGAGCTGACTAAATCTTTACCAGCTCTTGCACAAACAATAGTATTATGGGCTCCTGACACGGCTGGACCGTGATCAGCTGTTAACATTAAAGACATCTCAAGGAATTTACAATACATAGCTGGCAAGCACCGCTGGAACCACAATAATGAGACTACACCACCAATTCCTACATTTTGTTTAAGAACCTCAGTAACGGGCATTCCAGCGTACAATAATTCTTGACCACGTTCGTCACATATCGATGTCATGAATGACGCTGGTTTTCGTATTAGGCCGAGTTCCTGTAAAAATTAAATTATTCATAAAATTTGTCGGGAAACAAATAGAATTTTATTTCCAGACAACTAAATACAGTACCCTAGCCCAACTGTAGTCCATGGGAACGGTTGGTGGTGGAAGTTCGGGTTCTGGAACAATCTTTCCTGTTTTTACGAGTATTTCGTAAACGTTCTGCATTAGATCTCCAAGACTGTCGAAACTTTGCGGAACGTTAGCACCAGCGCTTTTCAACGCAGCGTTCTTCGCAGAAGCCGTTTCCAAATTACTATGGGCGATTGATCCAGCATGACCAAACTGCACTTCAGAATTGAACATGCTGGCACAGGTACCAATGCACCAAGCGATCAGTGGCTTTGTAATCCTCTTTGACTTCAATGCTTCGCACACTTCATATTCCTCCACGCCACCGACTTCGCCAAGAAGAACTATCAGTTTCACTTCAGGATTTTCTTGATAACGCAATATGTGATCCATAAACGTAGTTCCTGGATAACGATCTCCTCCAATTGCGACACCCTCCAACACTCCGTTAGTAGCTTTCGAAATTATATTGTTTAATTCGTTGGACATACCACCAGAACGAGAAACATACGCGACGCTGGAAAATAAGATTGTCTTTGTAACTAAAGTTAACATACTTTAACACAATGTAAGGAGGAAAAAAGTTACCTGCCAGGCCTATAAAGTTTACTATGAAGAATGTTGTCCATCATTCCACCGGTATTACCGATCTTGAAACAACCTGGTTTAACACCTCCCACAGTAGCTGGACCGATAATTGTAACTCCTCTCTCCTGTGCCATTAGAATTATTTTTCTTGTCATATTTTCGGGTATACCTTCAGCAATAATAGCGATCGTTCGAATTTGAGGGAACTGCAACGTTTCAACTGCGCTTTCATAAGCAGATCTTAAAGATGCGAATGTGACCATAACGTCTGCATCCGTATGTTTAGTCATAGCGTCTTTCATTTGTTTGTAAACAGGGATGAGTATCTATTACGTATACAAATAAAAAGAATAAGTTTAAATTTTATTGTGATTAAAGTAAATATTGTGTAAATAAGAAAACGTCAATTGTACGAACCTCCTTATGGCCCCAGTAGAATTTTTGTTTGTGGTCACCAGTGAAGGGGTATACAATAGCGGCTACAGATGGTTCAGATCTGCGGCAAACGAAGTCAAAGTCTAGCATACTTTGCACGGCTCTCGTTTGCATTCCCCAAATAATAGCTCTAGTTTTACTACTGAAAAGTTGTTTCGTTGATGCATCCACAGAGCTGCTTGCTTTTAATTTGGGTTGTTTGGTAGGTGAGCAAGAAGCATTCTTTGAAGGAGCCGCTGGGCCTACATCTTGTCCTGAAGGTAATAGAAAATTCGCGGTAGAAAATTCTTGAGCTTCGGGATCTGGAATTGGCTTTTTACCCAAAGCCATCGCACATATCGCTGTCATATGAGTTTCGGGACCGAATACATAAACAGGTATACCAAGTCTTCTACCAACTTCACGGATAATTCTGAAATTAAAGACACAAATTAAGACGCGATCCTTTGGTATTATTTGCCGAAATTGTATCTTTCGAATACGTAAGTACCTTAAACCTTCTTGATAATTTGGTCCTGCTCTTCTTACAAATATTTGTATATTGTGTTCTACAAGCTTCGGTTGATATTCTTGTAATGCCTTTACAATACCCTTAAAGGTTGCAGCTACGTTCGTGAAATTGGCGATACCTCCACCGATAATTAATACCTTTCCCTCTTTTCGTTTTTCTTTTGTCATTAAGCCCAAAATAGTTTTTGCATAGTCATAAGTTTGCTGTTCACTAGGTGCACCAGAATACTCGCCATAATTAGCTAGTTCGTCCGCGCCACCCAAATCGCAAATCGTATCTGAATATATTACAGATGCACCTGAAAACAAAATTTTGATATGAAAAATGTACACGAATACGATTTAACCTTTCTAAAATAAAGGAAACGACTTGACAATCACAATTTGGTTAAAATGAACCACATTAATCACGTAAATGATACTGCTGTTCGCTTCTACTGACCACCGCCAGCAACCATAGTCCATATCCGACCAGCTGGATTAAGAAGAGTCAATTTCAAGCTAGCCCCAGATTTAGCATCCAAGTCAGCGATATAGGCCTCTTCTGGATACGCGTCCCGTCCGAATGGTGGTGGATAATCAATTTCTCCCCAGTCTGGTCTACATATGAAGTCTGCAGTTGTATCCAATTTAGCAGCAAGATCAAGTATATAAATTCCATTGTCTGTCACCACTAATGGATTTATCTCCATATAAGTAAAATATAAATTAACATAAAGCTTATAGAGAGATTCGATAAACTTGGCAATTGTTCTACAAAAAAAAGTGTATGTGTTATTATATTTATCAATATTTTTAAAATAAAAATTTTATTTTGAAATACTTACTCTTTTTTATCATTTGCCACATGTACTAATAACTTCTCCATTATCATAGATTGATCTGGGGCCTTTTCTCCAACAGATACTTCAAGTTTTAAAGCTTTAGCATCAACATCTCCAATATCAACTCCTCCTTCATGATGGAATAAAATAGTGTCAGCTTTCCGGTGGGAGTAGATACAAACATATGCTTCCTCTTCCTACAATTTAAAATGTTATTGGTTTACTCATTTTATTGATTCCTTATAACAACACCAAACACCTACCTGTTTGTGGGGAACAAATGGTTCAATGATAAATGTTCTCAGTTTTCCAGTTGTCTTTCCTATTCGTTGATCCTTATTAATTCTCTCAGCTATCCATTGTTTGACCGTGGGTAAATCTGCATTCACTTTAATAAGGCCAAGTTTTCCACGTCGCTTGATCAACTGATCAGGCTTCACAACCAATTTCTCTGTCTGAAGCCATGGATTGGTATTTACAACATCTGCCCAATTTGTGTCTTCTGTGATGGACACAAATCGACATTTAACTGCATTTGTACCATTGGGAAGTTTGCGATTGATGAGGTCTTTTCCAGTTGCCTCCCGAATTGCTTTTGCAGACATTTTTTACCAATTTCTAAAAGCAAATATATTATTACTATAGATTAAATTTCCATACAGTATTGTTTAACTTTAAAATTTTTTTTTATTTACAATTCTTCTTTCTAAAATATTTTGTTTATTTAGTACATAAAACACATGGTTAAAAAAACGGACACGTAAACGGTAAAAGCGTCTACCGCTTTAGAAATTCTCAAGTCTAAAATGTTAAATGATTCTGTAAGTAAAAGTTGGCCGACCGCATTCCAGCGTCAAACGGACAGAACTCACCGAAATTGTTATAAATATTTCTCAATTTTATCACATTCAAAATAAATCTATTTTTAATACATTTTAATCAATAAGTACTTAAAATACTTTAAAGGTATTTCCGAAATATTGAAAAATTAATAAATATTCATAAATAACGATCACATTTACGAAATACTTGGAATCATTTACGTTGTTTTAGGCAGTGCAACTTTATGATTATTTCACGTTCACGCATCATTTACATATTAAATACACTTTTCTCCAATAGCAATGTGTGCGTTATACAATCATCGCGCATACGATGTGTGCAATGCAAGCGCATGAATGTACTTATTTGCATATACAATGTAGATGCATAGTAATCCTGGAATTTTAATATTAAATTCTTATCGAACAAAAGGATAACTGATAAACGCTACAGAAAAAGTGTTACGACAGCTAATACATTTGTTTATTTGAATTAAAAATTAACTTTTCGATTTTTAAACAATTTTGCCACATTTAAAATATTATATTATCAAAGTAACGAAGTATTTCCGAATACGCGTAAAATTCACGATGAAATTTATTTAAAACGTAATCAAATCAAATATCATACGTTTATATCGATTCAAACTTGACGCTAAAATTAAATTTTAAATAAAAAGTTATAGTGCAAGTAATAAAATAAAACATTACATGCTCAGAGGTCTAGCGAAACGGATTAGAACAGAAGTTTCTAACGGATTTAAAGCAAATGCTTTCACTTTAACTCCAACTAATGCCTTCATGGTCATTTACGTCATCGTGTTTGATTTTTAAATTTTCCCCCATTGTCAATATTACATACATAATACATTAATCATAAACGAGACCAACATCGCATTCTGCATGAATGATTTTATCTTCAAATTGACGTATTATCGTCATATATAGACGCTCGTAAAATTTGTACATACAAATAACGTCTCGAGTGACGAAAGATCACAATTGAATGTATAGAATGGTAAATGATAGCACATTCACTCACCGGAAAAGCGTTTAATGCTGAACGTTCGATTTAGTAAATACAATAGAAGTCGACCTTAACCTTCTCACGTTGTATTTTCTAACCTACGAGATTTCAAACGAAGAACACTTAGAAACGATCCACCCCACACTGCCGTCGGCAGTTAACTGAACGTTCAAAGTGATATCGTGCGCATAAGTAACAGCAAGCCACACACGATATCTCAAGATATCGTACGATTTTACCATTTTTTTTCTCACGGTCGCTCGTAATAACCTATTTTCTTTTTTTCACTATCACGCGTTATACAGCTAATATTTTACAGATTGTAACACGAAAAATCTATTTCCTACGATATTTTTACATTTTAATTCTATTATTTCAATTAACCTCTCTTTCTTTCATTTTTATGCGTTAGCTTTTATATTAAAGCCACCATATCATACATAAATACAATGTAAATCGATATCTTGAATTTACTTATTAAAAAAAAATTCATGAATCTAAGCATGCCAATGAAATATTTGCGGATTTGATTGCATTACACATGCACAAGAAGTTGCGTATTACAGTATTATTTTAATGTGATATTAATAACGTAATATTCATTAGATATTCAAACAACACGAGTTGGTTCATACAAATTATTCCGGTAGTGAAACAAAATCATCCAAGTCTAGAGGATCGTACGAGGATTAATTGATGGTCACGTGACCGTAATGCGATCTCTGGTTACCACGTGGACAGATAGCAAAGGTTTTCAAACTCTTATTATTATGCGATTTATTCATGATTTTCACATTGGATAAGCTGCTACGTTCGATTAAATTTAGAAATATGGTCGTTAAAGACATGTCAAGTTCATTTCACTTCTCTACGACAGTACATAGTATTCGATATTTTTATGTAATAAACAAATTTTAAATAATATCGTTTTAGAACCATTAAATCGATGGTACATCGTGGTATTTAATAAATTCTACGTCACTACGACACATCGTTACTTTATTAATCGTTAATTGAATAATTAAAATCGTTCAACGACTTATTCACCGTGTGATGTAACATTATTTTATAATTTATATTCTGAATTTTATTTAACCAGTACCGAATAAAAAGTTGCTTATCCTCCACTAATTATTCGCGGTTTAATTTAGATAAGAGTTTTGTACAATACAGGTATTAACAAGTGCTACTTTAGCGATAGTCGTGGTTCTCAAATACCGGCCATTTAATACTGTGGTTCTCAAAGTAATTAGTACGGGTTAAATTACTACATAATTTGATAGTTGTATCCACGTACTTCATTGCGTGACGAAATATCAACGTACGAACTAATGAAAAAGGTATATAGCTTTTTGTGCAAACTCGACACAAATTACTTCACTTCAAGCAAACAATAGTTTCGTGAATCGTCGATCTTCACTTATCTCTACACTTGTATCTTCTACATCCAAGTGTAACCTTGACCTTTCGAACAGTTACAAGACTTAGACGTATGACCAATAAAAGTTTCCAAGGAACAGTTAGAAAACGAACGAAATTACCTAATTAGTTTTTCTGTCTCGTCAAAAAATAAATTGGAATAAATTTTGAATTACGTATTCAATTCCCTACTTAGCATTGATTTATACATATATATAATTTTTCTCGACTGTACGATACGATTTTTCAGCTACCGAATAATAAATTATTTATAATTTATAATTACCCGCGTTTTTTATTCTAATCGATATTTTCACATTTTCTTCTAGTTATGCATATGTGTGTTGTACTAAGGATAGGACGAAGTGGGATTTATTGCGTAAACGATTAGCATTTGCTATGTCATGACAGAGTTCTAGAATCTCAATATATGTATTTCGTTTTTCGATTAAATATATGTTGAGAAAACACAAGAGAAAGAGAACATAACACAATTAAATATTACGATTTAGTTTTACACTAGGAAATTTTTCGAATTTCTTATTCGTAGTATTCACGTTGAAATATTTCTTAACAAACACGTGAAAAAATAAGTCAACTACAACTATTTCACTGACGGATCTAAGTAAACGTGCATTTCATTGACAGTACGCAACACTTTGAAATAGTATACAACTGAATATAAGTATACGTCACTAAAGGAATAGATGATTTTCCCGTATGAATGTAAAACACGTCTTATCACAAATTAATAACGTTTTCAACTGTGCAAATAAGATCTCAAATTAACGTTGCTTTTTTAATGCTTAACTGAGCTATAGATTCTTTTATGCATCGTTAAAATAATTTATTTATTCGTATAATCGAAATCATATTTGTTAAATAATGATTGTTATGTATTTGACTACTTGTACGTGCGACACAAAACTCATGCAATGAGTTACCGACTAAATTTTCGTTAAACATCAATAGTATTTCCTATGGAAAATTTTTAAACTGATAAGGTTAGTTTGTCATCACAGGGACCAGCTCGCGAACGGAAATAAATTTAACTCAAAGTGACTTACGATTCACAGGTAAGACCGATGAAATGTGAAAATGTATTTTCTGAGAAGCCTTCGCTATGTGAGAGACTAGACAAGAAGAGTAGTCTACTTAAAAGCACAGGCTCCTGAAAAAAACTACTTTACATTCTTAGCTACAACGACGTTAACCGGTGTGAAGCTGGCTCAAAAATTATCGAGCGTCTTCGAGATTGAAATCATTCTAAATAATTTTGTAGAATTATCTTTCGGGTAACAAAATCAGAATTTTCTGCAATAGAATCACCTTGGATTAATGCAAAGTATTTTTAATCATTCGTGAATTCAGTTTAACATTATCGAGCTATTATGACGTATTCGTGACGTGGCAGTAATACGTCACATCGTATGATTCTCTATGATGTAGAAAGCAATCGTTTCTGTATGTGAAATTTAGATTATGACATTTTTTTGCAAATTTCATACGAATGTTAAAAACATAAATTCTTGTAAATTTTTGTATAGGTAATAAAAGTAGTTATCTTATGATTTTCCAGCTTCTTCCACAACCCAGTAGCTCTATTATTTCAGTTTATTAATTCAATATTTTTGGAATGTAATTATTTACGGCACTCTTTAGTCTTAGTATTGAATAAATTTTCATTGATGTATTTTTACCTTTGAAGCAAAACTAATCTTTAAATTAACCTTTCTTCAAAATATTTGAAATTATTCATGTATGCTAATAATATGAAATTTTGTACTTAAAGAAATTATATAAGACCACAAGGAAGTTGACAATTTTTCGAGCATGAAAGATTCCAAAATATTTAGGTTCCTGGCCTATTTCTAATAGCATTTAAAAATATTAAATAATTTATATTATATGTATACTATCATACAAAAATTGTACACAAAATATGTTATTATATCATAATTCATATATATCTTAAATGTGTTTATTGTTGTTATACCCTATTACTATTAATTTTTTGTTTAAATGCTCAATTCATAAAACAATGATTTCATATAGAAATGAAATTATATATTATAAATGGATAGGTAAAAAATAATACATATTAAGATCGATCTAAAGAAAGCTAGCTGATTATTAATTCAAATGTCAGCTATCAGTATTGTGTTAAAATAGTATATCATATTTATGCTTCCAACGATACTATAAATGTGCTGTAAGTCTGAAATTTTTGTTTTTCAGAACATTAATATTTACGTATGTATTTAAAATATATCTTAAAGTTTATTACTTAGTAATTCATTTTTTTAAGGTCTGAAATGATATTGTAAAATTTTACAAATATTTCAAACTTTGTTAGTAAAAAATTACTGTGTTATATTATTGCATTTTAATATCACGTATTTTTTCTGTACTGTGATAAATATTTTCGATTGGTGTACGTGATGTAAGAAGTATCAAAAATCACCTGTACATGCATTCTTGAATAATAAATATTTAAATTATTGCTCTTTATATGATTATACTCTGTTCTCCAACTTGCCGATAAGATCATGTACACTTTCTATAACACTGTATATATAAGGACGTTCCATAGGGTTTACCTTCAACATTGATAAAATCAGATCCTGCATTTCCTACAAAATTTAGAATTCGGGTATTACATTTAGAAGTTTCAAAACACCAATCACACAAAAAATATACTTAGATGTGCATAGTTACTCAACCTCATTGTAAGGACTATTTTCTGGGAATGTAATATTTGCACTCATGACAGCCAAAGCAACGCTATCTCCTCTTTCATATACAGCATCAAAAGGCGATTTAAAATAGCAGAGTGCATACAGAATACAGCCTAAAGACTGAAAAATATTGCAATGTGGAGTAGCATTAGAATAAAAGTGTAAAAATGACTATAGTTTAAAGAATTATACTAATATTTTACCCAAATATCAGTTCGTTCATCCACCATACAATAACTTTCAACATTAAATAATTCTGGTGCTCTGTATGGCATTGAACACCTTTCTGCTGCTAAATCTTGCAATGTTTGCGCTGCCTGTGATCCGCATACTTTAACTCTTGCAGGTGCTACAGAACCTAAAAAAAGCAATGTTTATTTAATGATGTTATTGTTAATTTTTATTTCATATGGTAACCAAGATATTATACCTAAGTCCATTATAATAGGTGTAGTACCATCACCAAGAACTATATTTGCAGTCTTTAGATCTCTGTGAGCAAGAGGTTCTGGTTTTGCTTCATGAAAAGCTTTTACACCTTCGCATATTTGTGAAAAAATATATAAAATTTCCAATGCACTCATATAATCACTGTTTTTAGCACGTCTTTCTAATTCATTTGCAAGTGTACCTCTCTAAAGATAAAAAAACACCTTTTTAAATAACTTACAACTTTTGACCATTACTCAAGTGTATCTCTTAAGATACAAAACTTACATGATAGTATGGTAAAACAAGTAATGCTTCACTGGTAGCGTTAATGACAGGATCTGCTGTTCCTTTATAAGTGGAATCAATACATTCTATTACATTTGGATGTTTCACAAGATTGTGATATTCTATTTCTTTTGCTGCTAATCTCTGGTCCTCTAAGCCATGACAAATTATCTTTTTAATTGCATACTTCTTATGTGTTAATGCATCTTCAACTAAAAGTACAGTGCTGAATCCACTAAAATACAAAATAAACTAAATTAAGGAAAATCAAATTTAACATGGATAAAACACTCACTTTTTGTTAATATGAACTATTTTTAAATACTATTTAAGAATGTCATTTACTATTACAAACAAACACGACAGTATAGGTTATGTGAGATTAACAATGAGATAATTTTTTTCCGTTAGTAACAGAGAACGTATAATACAAAATATTTAACCAAAATAAGTGTCAATTTGCGAAGTTAATGTAAACAAAAGTATTAATCTATAAAAGTCTGTTTTGTATCAAACTTGCCCTTCTCCAAGATGTTCGCGAACTGTATAATTTCTTGAATTTACCGTGATAGTTTCTTTGGAGCATATACAGCCCATTTTTAAAATTAAACTTAAACCGAGGCTATTCATGTTGTGCTGTACATAGTAAAAGAAATAGATTAATGATACACCTAATGACTTTCTTTATCGGCGTGCAAACATCTTGACATACGTCACATATGCTACCATAAACTGCAGATTGCTTCAGATCAGTTCAGAATTATGTTTGATTATGTTATTTGAAAGAAACAAACAATGAGGATTAGTATATATTAATAACCATATATTTCGATATAAAATAAACTCGTACAATATTTGTACACATGACGTATTTTTTACTTAAGATTATAATTTATTATATAAAATAAATACATCCTAATTCTCATTGTTTGTTTCTTTCAAATAACATAGTACACGTTAGATATTTGATTATCAGCTGTTTGCAAATAATATTAGTCAATATTAGTTGTCACGTCATTCAAACTGGTTAAATCGTACATTTTTGGAAAATTTATAAGTGATGAAGAATATTTTTCAATAGACTGCTTTATATTATTTTTTCAGAGATATTTTACAAGTTACATAATAACGCTGTAAGACTCAAAGTACGAAAATGTTTACGAAAATAAATTTGAAATGAACAAATTGTATTCATAATTTTTCGATATGGCTAAAGAAGATGCTATTAAAGTAATATACACCAGAATTTTCTTTTTTTTATAGATATATTTTAATAACTAAGAACATATGATATACATTTATCAAAACTTTCAAGAGTATAATCATTATTATTTTATTTATGATTTTGATAGACAGTGTACACCCTTCTATGGATATTTATTGCAAGTTATTATTTTTGGGGTGCACAAGAAGTAACAGTAACAAATCCTATCGATGAATCAGGTTGGGTACCAGATGGGGCATTGGCAAATAAAATTCAATCTGCAGAACCAAGACTACAAGACCAGGTGGAGGAATGAACTGTTGAATTCTGTTGACACCTCTTAATTATTGTATTCTGATACAATAAATGAGTCTTTACCATTCTAACTAAATGTACATGTACAACTAAAAATGTGTGTATGATACAAATTCTGATTTGGAATCATGCATGTGATGAAAAAACATAGTTTCTCTGAAGATTGTTGTATGTACTATTTACTTTATTTATTCTTTTAAAAAGTGAAACTTTGATATATGAAATATTTCTCTTCTTAAAAACGTTAATGTAAAACATGTACTATATCATCTTATACATAATAACTGTTTCATATTTCTTTGTGATTGTTAATGAGATTTAAAATTTTTCATTAAATAAAATATAGAATTAACACGAATGTCTAATTGAGAAATATATCTTGTATAATGAAATAGAATCGTATTCTAAAAATTTAATTTTTAGTACTTTTGAATAAGTTACTCATGTGTAGGAACAGGTATATACTTTTTTTTATTATGACTATTACACTCAACAAATGAGGTTATCTTTTCTCCTAAAAGCATTTACGATGATGTTACATCAGTTTCCTGATGGATGTCACCATTTGGTAATTTGTTACTCTCTTGATCATTCTGTAGTTGGGCTTGCCACATGGAATGATAAATTCCGCTATAAGAGATTAGTTCTTCATGTTTGCCTCTTTCTACAATTTCCCCGTCTTTTAAAACGAGAATTTCATCGGCGTGTATGATCGTGGATAATCTATGTGCTATGATAATAGTTGTTCGATTAGCACAAACTCTTCCTAACGCTGCTTGAATGTTACGCTCTGTTTGAGTATCAAGTGCACTTGTTGCTTCGTCCAAGAGCACAATTGCTGGTTCCTTCAATATTGTACGCGCGATAGCAACTCGTTGTTTTTCTCCTCCACTTAATCGAAGTCCTCTCTCGCCAACCTATACAGTTATAATTGAGTATTGCTAGTTTTCATTTTCATTTTGATTAAATAAAATATAGTTTGACTCATCAATTAATACATACTTGTGTTTCATAACCATTTGGAAATGAAAGAATTCGGTCATGAATGTCTGCATTTCTAGCTGCTGCTATTACGTCTGCATCTACAGCTTCGATACGACCATATTGAATATTATATTTTATGGTGTTATTAAACAGTACAGTGTCTTGAGGTACAACACCTATTGCCCGTCTTAAAGAATCTTGTTTAACTGTTTTAACATTCTGTCCATCGATCAATATCGCTCCTTCTTCTACATCATAAAATCTAAATAACAGTCGCACGATAGTTGATTTTCCAGCTCCCGAAGGTCCAACCAAAGCAATAGTTTTTCCCGCTGGAACGACAAAGCTAATATTTTTTAGTATGACATTCTCGGGAACGTAACTAAACGATACATTCGAGAATTCAACTTGACCACGTTTTACTATTAATGGTCCAGCACCTGGAGCATCAATTACTTCTTGTTCTTCTCTGAGAAGATCAAACATGTTTTCCATATCAACGAAATTCTTTTGTATAGCACTATAAATGTAAAAAGTATTTTTAAACTAATAGAATGGTTCTTAGTTTAGCAAAAAATGACTAGCATAATTAATTACCGGTAATATGATCCAAACCAATTTAATGGTACATAAAGTTGAATGATGTAACTTGCAAACAAAACATAATCACCAATTGTTAAACCTTGATGAGTCACAACCTGCAACCAATAAATTTATGATATATGTTCCTATAAACGTTTTCAAGAAACGTTTGAAAAAAATAAAAATATTTTATACACTAACCATGTGCAAACAAAGTAAAGATCCAGCTAACAAACCAGCGCAAACGATTATATTTTGCAAGGTATTTAAAATATTCAATGTAATCATTGATTTCCATTCTTCTATTTGGAAGTCTATTATTGATTTTCTATAGCTATCTACTTCGTATGACTCTGCTCCGTAATATTTGACCGTTTCAAAATTAAGTAAACTGTCAACACTTCGTGCTCTTTGGGCATTATCTGCTAAGTTCATACGCCTTTGGAACTTGGTACGCCATTCGGTAACAAGAATTGTAGCAGCTAACATAAATAACGAAAACGTCGTAATATTTGTTATGTCAAATTGTAGAAAAATGATGAAAAAGGAATATAATCACCTATATAAAGAGTCATAGTTGTGAATACAATTAATCCAAACCACTTATTAAAAGCACTAACAAAGAATACAACAGCCACGATAATGTCAACAATTGTTGGCACAATAGAAAAGAGAATGTAATTAAGTAGATTGTTTATAGAATCTGTGCCACGATCCATGACTCTTAAAACTTCGCCAGTTTTCCGTCCAAGATGCCAGCGTAAACTTAGACTATGTAAATGCCTGAAGAAATTCATATTATAGAAGTAAGATATAATTATAAATTAAACCAAGCAAACTTAAAAGAATGAAAATATCAAATATTCACCTGAACAATTCAACTTCAATTTCCCGAGTTGTATATTGTTGTATACGAATCCATAAAAACGATCTTAGATTGTTCAGTAGTCCCATACCACCTGTACCTCCACCTTGTAAGAATTTGAATGCTACATATATTAATATGAGGTCCCACCTACCACAAGGATTAAACATTTCATGAAAACACCCGTGTATTTTTAAAATTTTAACTTGAAAATTTTCTATACCTAAATGTTGTAGGAGTTTCGGCAACACTGTCGACAATCTTTTTATTATAAATTGGAACATACAAGTTTATGAAACGTCCCGCTATGAGTAACGTAAAGCAAAATATAACTCTCAGTTGAAGCGTAAAACTTTTTTCAGGCCACAAAAATGGTGCCAAAGTTTTTATCTTATACCAGGAATTTGCCCATGCCGAACTGTTATTCTCAGGTCTCTGAAAATAATTGTATTATAAATAGTTATATATCGTGTCCAAACAGATCCAACAAATGATAAACATACACTTTTAATTGTATTAAATTATCTACATATTGACTTTTACTGTGTGCGCGTACACAGATAATTAGTATTTCTTTTATATATCCTGGTTTGTTATTTATATTTTAGTCGCATAATATTATTATAGGACTCTCTGTAACACAATAATGGTTACAAGATTTCTATCAGGTAAAAACTATTATAGGTAGTAGTAGGTAGTAGGTCTAATAGGTAGTAGTCAAAATTATATTCATTGACTTACACCTTGGTAATATCTTGACCGTGTAGCTGAACCATCATTGAGTCTATGATATTCAGAATTTAAAAGTATTCCTTGTATCCCAAATATTCCTGGTGCTTTGAGCCCTAAGGCAAAGATGAGAAGATTGCTGACGTAACGCAAAACGAACAGTGCCATCTCGATTTGGTCTGTTAATCTGTAAATAGAACACATATACAGAGAGAAAATCCCACTAGGTACAGTGAGCAAAGTATACCATTCCCATTAACAATATGAACTTAAGAAAGTGCTTATATAATAATATAATAAGTTTATTTTAAACTTACGTATTTAAATGAAACCACCATTCAAGTTTTCCAATGTTAACAAAGACAAAATTTTCAGCAGCAAACGCCAAGGTCCAAAAGCCCAACAATACAAGACCATGACCACGTGGTGGTACACTTGGTAACAATTTGTGTCTTTCTACCCTTAATATGTACACAGAAAATGGATAAACAATCACAGTTAATATTGTTGTGACAATCTGAAAGTATTAAGGTAATTTAAAGTTTATCAGTTAAGCAATATTGTTATGTATTGTTAAAGTGAAATTGTTACCATGTAACCATAGATTTTCTTGTCATTCAAAACTGTTGCTTGTAGAATTATTCTTACTATACTGAGTATTGGAACAAAGTATAGCAGTATTTTTTGTAAAACATATAATTTACTTTTAGGTACTAAAGTTGCAGCAAGTTCTGTGCCATGCTTTCGATATATCCAAAGTTGCATTGTACCAAAAATGAATAGGTACAATGAAATCACAGCACTACTAATAGTATCCATGAAACATTTTGACATTCCATGTTCCATCCAAATCTCATTAAACGTTATATTTGGAGGACAATAGGTCATTGTTGTATTCATTTTGAATCCTTCAAAGTTTAATTCTTAATAAATCATTAAAATGAAATTCCTAAGTAATATCTCTTTTATTGTTGTTTTAATATGAGATTACTTCTGATATTTTTTGTTTTGTTATATGTCTTATTTGTAATGATTCTCTTTATCTGGTCACTTACTGTACGAAATCTGATATTTCAATTTATAAATGGGATATCTGAAAAATCATACAACACATATTAATAATTTATCAAAATAAATCAATGTTTTACTGATCTTTAAATGAGAACATCAGAACCATGTGTGATGAGCTTATCTTTAGATAAACATATATCTTATCACAAATAATGTGCTTATATAATATATAATATATATATAATTTTCATTTATATCATATTTATATCATACAAAATATGACAATTTTACATATGAAAACAGCTTTTAATTTTGAAATTTTTATATTTTTGTGTATACATATGTATATATATATTTTTTCTATCTTTAGAAAAAGAATGATAAAAATTAAAACACATTCTAATAAAATGCCCTATGAAAAATTATAAATACAATTCTTGTGAAATAACTTGTTTGTGTAATAGAAACTAATGCGCAATATAAAATGTCAAAGAGAAATTCAAATAGAACAAATAACAGTTCAAAATTTCACTAAGAGAAAGCTGATGCTTTCATTATAATTTATTTGTAATACTAACCACTTAAAAGAACTGGATCCTTTATCTTTTTTTTTGGATATCTGCATCGTCACGTTGTACGCGTATAATTTGATTAGCGATTTGTAATACTGAACAGGCACAAATATTTTTAAAATAGTCGCCTAACCTAGTGTTATCGTATGATTAGAGAAAAATATTATAAACGGTACTTTGATGTTAATGCAATTAACACCAAGAAAACACTTTCTTGCGCGTTTACATAGTTATCACTTTTAAATATACGAAATTTACATTATTACCTACGTCAGACTTTGTCAAACGTACTATTTGACAGATCACTTGGGATTACTTGTGTACAGATCAGTGAATATACATGCACAAACATGTACATGACACTGTGACCAACTGTGACTGCCTCGTGGGTAACATACACATAACCTATAACCTACATGCTTACAAATTATACGATTTTGAAAATATTGTTCGTACGTACTCTTTTTCTACTATTATAACATAAATGACATGTGTTTTAAGTAAATTATTACATATCGAATAGTGATCTATTTATGTGCAAGTGTATTTTTGAATAATACAATTTATACTATTGAAAAAATTGGTTTTAATTGTACGTTATATTAGTCTAACTTGGTCTAACCTAAAGACGAGGAGAAAATAATGCATATACACTAATTCGATTTACACAATAATTAATTATGGGTAAGAATAATAGGCACATGAAACATTTAAAGTCTGAAAAGGCAAAAGTGAAATTGAAAGCGAAGAAAGCAAAGCCATTACCAAAGGGATTAAATGTCACTGATCCGACGTTCAAAGTTAAAAAGATCGTAATACGTGAACAATTGAAACATCATGATGACACGGAAATTCTTAGTAAAAGAAAACTTAATGTTAAAGTAATGATACTAGTTATTAATTAATATTACTTATTTTTGAAATTGTTATGTGATTCTTTTAACATGTGTGTATGTAATTTTTAGGATTTACTATCACGTCTTCAACATTATAATTCAACAGTTCGACAAGATGCTGTGAGAGAACTAAAAGAAATTTTGTCACAGCATTCTTTGGACTTATTGAGTTCACAGTTTGGATCTCTGTTGCAAGGCATTTGTGCATTATCTCTTGATAAAGAGAGAAACATAAGACATGACTCCTTCAAAGTTTTGAGTTTAATACTTGGTCCAGTATCTAATGATCAACTGAATCCATATTGTGATGTTTTGATTTCATATTTAAGATGTGCTATGACACATATAGACCCTCGCATTAAAGAAGATGCTTTACTCTTTTTGGATGTACTTGTACAAAATTGTGGTAATGTCTTGGCTAGAAACAGCAATAAAGTGCTGCCAAATTTTTTAAACATGATCTCTAGATTGCACACTGAAATGAAACCTGGAAGACAATTAATAACAACTTTAAATTCCAAAAATACTACTGTTAAATGGAGGATAAAAGTATTGGAAAGGCTTGCCACTATGTTCAGGTCTATCGTTAGCTTTTATAAATCACAGCAAACTATTGGCTTAAATGTGACTGGACAAGTTGTACATATAGACAAAAATACTAGATATGTTCCTATTTACTTAAATACAAATTTTCAAAACTTTGAAATTGATTTTGAACAAAATGATATTCTAAAAGAAAATGCTGTTGAACAAAGTCTAGATGCAGAAGAGCTTATGAAATATGTTGAATCATTAATGCCTCTCATATTTGATAGTTGGATGGAAGTTTGCCCAGATGACAAAAATGTAGATAATTCTGCACTTCTGATTTCTGCTGAAGCATTAGAATTATTGAAAAGTGCTGTAGAAATTATACAGTTAATAATTGAATGTATAGATATATTGCACACTGAATGCGATATAAACTTGAAATATTGGTTTAAAAACAATTTTCAGAACATTTTCATACAAAATTTACTTACAAAATTTCCTTACACTAAGTTAGGTGCTACACTGAGCTTGCTCTCCTCAGCACGAAACAGAAAACGTCAAGAAGACTTTTCTGTGGATGAGACATATGATGCCTGCTTAGAACAAAATCTAGGACTTTGTCAGATTTATATATGGTTTACATCAATACATAGTGATGATAAGGTTGCATCTAAAATAAATCAAGATTATTGTACATCCGTAATTAAGTATTTAAATGGTATTACAAAGTTTATTTTGTTTTCTATTAATAATGAGTCTTTGTTTATATTTAGCTTACCCGTTTTGTCTTTTATAGAAAAAATTGAAAATTGGTCAAATATAAATAATGTTGCCTTATCACAGCTGATCAAGCTTTTGAGAACATTATTCTTGAAAGCAAGTAAAGTTTGGTATAGAAATCATCTTGATCTCAATGAAACTTTACAAGCTGTTGTAGATGCATGTTGTAATCAATCAAAGAAAGAAATGCAATTACAATTATTTTCTCTCATTAGTGATATTATGTTAGATCATACTTTACATGAATTACACAGGTAATTGCATTCACTACTTTTTTTCTTTTTTAAATTGTACCTACTGCAAATACTTTATGGTACATTGCAGGGAAGATGCATTTAAGGAGTTCATATCAACTGTACCCAATCTTCTTTTAAAGCCAAAAATACATGACAATACAATAAAAATAATAAACAAAGTCGTGCTGCGGTACAGAAATTGGATTCAGAAACAACTTGTAGCAAATTACAATGACATCATAGGTAAACATTTGAAAATATTATTTTTATTACTCTATATTAACAATGTATCTATTATTTGTATTACAGAAAATGCTAAAAAAATCGAAATTCTCGGATCAGAAGATGAGAAAAAATCCCGCCTTATGATATGTAATTTGTTTTATTTCTTAGATGCACAAATTTTTTATTAAGTCGGATGTATTTTTTATAATAAATATAAGTGTTACATAAATGTTTCTTTTATGATATATCTGAAAGAAACACTATTTCACTTTATTAATAAATTAATGATTCTTGCAATAGGAAAATTTGAAAGAACTATACATATAGTAGAGTGCAATCGTCAAAATCGTTAGATAAATACACTTCGACGGTTATTAAAAATATATGACATTTTATCATATATAGTACATACAATAATCACAAATTTTATTTCATATTTGTTTTGTACCATTTTGTAGTAAAATTCTTAATTGTTTCGGAAGTATTCCATAATACTTATCTACAAATACTGGTATGATAATTGATTCCCTCTTCATCCACTATATTTGTTCTTATCAATTAAAGTTAAAATCTTTAACTTTTGATAAACATTTTCCAAGTACTATATTTTCAAAGTACATCTTAAAATCTAGTTATCATGTTCGTGTTTCGTACCGATTCGTCATCGACAAATGTTTGATTATCATACGCATATAACCTATTATTGTCCTTCTGTTTTTTATCATTTACATTTTTTCCAACTTCATTTACATACGACTGTTCATCCGAATACGTTACGTTAATTATATTTTCTACGCTCGGCGTTAACGGTAAAATGGGCAATTCTCTATTAAGTTTCGGCCAACTCGAGTCATTCTTTAATTCATGCTGTACTCTTAAATACTCCTTCTTAGACTTCTCCGGTCTATAAAACTTTGATTTTAGTATCTTCTCTATCATATACTCTATCACGAACGTTTCAACGATGATACAAACTACGAAATTTGCTAGAGCAAGCGCCAAAATGATGATCTTCCAATCATACGTTGGAGGCACAAGTAGCTCAAGTAAATTTATTATCCACTCTGCAGGATAGACTGTGATGTATGTACAAACGACAGTTAGTAAAACTATGGAAACTATGAATGCGATGTTTGTGTATATAGCTTCTCGATACGGTTTTCCTCGTGAAAATATTATTGCCATGGTTATGTACTGGAACATGGATACGCAATACACCGAATAATTTTCGTAACACGCGTATCTATCATCCTCCGTATTTACGTATGGTACAAACCAAGGGAAAGTACGCACCGCGTGATAAGCGACAGCTTGAAAAATAGTCATAATTAACATATGTACAGTCAGAGAGAAGATTGTCGTGAAACTTAAAAGACTAGTCATCGGGGGCTTTTTCACTAGTTTCTCTTCGTATGCTCGAGTTTTCCCAAAGAATGAGGCGAAGTTGACGATGAGGAATATATCGATGAAGAGAAACTCTAGATCCGACAGGTTTGAATCGATCGAGTAGAGAATAATGACGGACAAAAACTCTGTAAGGGAGTAAGTAACCATGAACTTAAATATTCCGAACGATGTCACCAACGCAGCACGACCCTCCCTTATCACCTTCGGAACACAAGTGATGTCAGGCACCTTAGACGTGAAAGGACTTGCTACGCTAAAAAAAGAAGACATCGAACATTAATATTGGAACATACGATGATTTAAAAATCTAAATCAGGGTTGATCGGAATAATAAAGCTTAATAATCTTTTAGCTGTGGTGTAAATGGATCTTTTTCTTTCCTGCAATAATCGAGGTTTTATTCCGTTAAGATTCTATAATACTAAAAATCTTTTAAATATTGATGCTGCTGCATAAAGTAAGTATGATATGTTACCTAGATTCCGCTTCAGACAAGGATACACCCACGTGCGCTGCTCTTAGAGCCCCGCAATCATTAGCACCATCTCCGCACATGGCTGTAATATTTACGAAACCTCTTTGAAATTACGACTACACGGTACAGTTAAGTATGACAAATATTAGGAATTGATGCATACCGACATAATAACCGAGTTGCATCAGCTCCAATACTAATTGCTGCTTTTGGTCGCTGGTCATTCTAGCAAATATTGCACCACGTACGCATATCTTCGGTACGATGTCAGGATAATGCTCGCGGAGCAACTGCCACGACTGACCCGTTAGCGCGAACCGATAATTTCTATTACCTATATTTTGTTCTATATTCTGCAACTCTGTTACCCTAAGCATTTTATCCTGAAGACTCTTGAAAAGGAAAGCAGGAAAACGATCATTATATTTCGTTTCTCTCGAGTGTTGAGCCTCGCAAAACCGGGGAAGGGGGGGGGGGCAGGGGAGCAAAACATAAATATCGTTCGATAGAAATTTGAAAAAAGTTGAATGTTAGCCTCTTTGATAGGATATGTAAAAAAACACTTGGTATTGCGAGGGTTCAATGATTAAGTAAAATTACCAATTTCGAAGATATTTCTTGAGCATTGAAATAAATCTCCGGCTGCACTTGGTTCTCTTTCATAACCACTGTAACATCTATCACAGACTCTTGCGGTGACAAAATGCCACACTCTTTTGCAACGCTTACAGCGGTTTGAATGTTGTCCCCTGAAATAACTTGTTTTAACGCTAGGCATATAACATGTTCATAAATCATTTCGCTTTCTACCAGCGATGAAGTGCTAAACCAACGAAATCTCAATTACCCGTGATCATCAAAACATGTATGTTGGCAGTTCTGAGTTCCTTGATCACCGGTACAGTCGGTGATTTTAATCTGTTCTCCATGATAACCAAACCTAAGAACTCAAGGTTCTGTTCGACTGCGTCACGGGGTAGCTTCGTTATCTGCGAATGAAAATGCAAACTATGAAAAATAGAACGATTTACGACGACAGGAACGTTAATTAAGCATATGTAAATAGCGATTAGCACGGGTACGTTTCTTGAAAATGTCGGATTATTCCAAAGCGATTAGTCAAGCTTATCGAACATGTTTGATAAAAATGCCTTAATTTATAATGTATTCGCTGCCTCTTTATACTATAGAATTCTATAGTATAATTTAGAAGTTTATATTGTTACAAATTAAATTCATTGACCAACTTTTTGTCACTGCATAGTAGGATACATGTTGATTTCTAACACGTAAGAATTATCTCAGGCTCTAATTGAGGACAAACAACATTGAAAAAAGTTTATACATATAAGAGAGTAATCTATTTGACCTTGTTTTTGAGTTATATTTCTTGTACTCTGATATGCATATATGGCGATACACACATGGAAAATTATTTTAAACATGCGTAGATGTAACGGACTTATGAAAAATAAAATATTAATATTTTAATTAATATATTATGCATACGTTACGTATACGTCCTATACATTATCGTATTTATAAAAATTCATAAAATTCGCACTCTATTAATAACAAATTGGTCTGCTATAATAGATTGAAGTAGGTCACATATGTATTTAAATGAACATTTTAGATTACGAAGAACTTGTAAAGAAAATTATAGTTTCGATTACCTTATCACTATTTTCGGTCAATACTGTTCGGCCCATAGCTATAACGCGGTAGCCCTGTTCTGTGTAACGTTTTAAACAAAACATGATGTCTCTCGGAATAGTTTCTGGTTTACTCAGGCTAAGTATCATCTCAGGTGAGCCTTTCGTGTAGGCTTTGAAAGTTTCCGATCCCGATATTCGTACTATCACAGACATTCGTTGTAGAGAGCTTGAAAATTGATACTGTTGTATTATCCCGATTTCCGATATCTCGTTCATATTTTCCATGAAACTGGTGCCCCTAGGCGGTTTTACGATCGTTGGCGCTACGAGATCGTACTTGTTCGACTGCCCGATATCTGATTCTTCCAATATCCATCCGGTACTTTCAAACATCTGCAAATACGTAGACGAGAATGACCGTGAACAGAAATTATTTGATATGGCACATCGACAGCCAAATTGTTTTTAAAGAAATTTTCTTGTTGGGTTTTCCCAGATTTTCGTCTCAACACTTGATTTATTGAAGGACAACTGTCGTGGTTCTCAATGTAAACAAAAACATAGATGTCGTAAATGAACTGTGTGGTAGTCGATGCAATAAACGAAGTAGAGTCTAAAGTTTTGACAATTACTTTAACATCCAGAGGATCTCCGCACAATTCATTGTCGATTAGAGTCAAACTATGACAAACCACCATTCCCTCGAAAAGAGGATGGTTGTGCAATTTAGGAACGCTTCTTTCCGATTCACCGATAACACCATTCGTGCAAGGTACGATGCCCCACATGTCCAAACCATCTTCCGTCAAAGTCCCTGTCTGTAAAAGTGAATACAATCCTCAACTCTGAGATAAATTAATTTCAAGAACACAGTGGAAGCATGTACAGTTTCCTCTTAATGATACATTGTAGTATGCACGAGTGATTCTCACCTTATCAAAACACACGCAATTTATACTACCGGATACATTAATGACTCTATTGTTAATGCAATATATTTGTGCTCTTTTCAATCTCGATTGAGCGTACAGTTTTCCCACTGTCATTGCGGCAGGCAATGCTGGAGGAATCACTATCGTGATTATATCTAACGCTTTTATAGCTATATCGCCGGCTGTAATCCCTCTGGAAGCCTACAATGATGTTCAAACAATATTAAATTTTGGAATGCGATTAAGAGGACTATGCACTCAAATTGTTCCAAAATTAAGTCCCCCCCTAGAACTTAATTCCAAGGAAATGAATGTCAGTACAGACTTTTCTTTGTTCGTATTGTTTATATGGATTTTTATTGGGTTTGAATATTGTAGTTTGAAGCAATTCAAGTATCTAATCCTTTAAGTCAAAAATAAATTATGGACGAATTGGCATCGAAACACACCTTAGTCACGATAGTGTATATGAAACCAAAGGTGGCAATAAGCGCGAGAATACCAATGAATTTATAAGAATCCTGATCGAACTTAAAGTCTGCTGGTGGTGGGTACAAGATGGCTGCGACCAATCCACCTTTATTGGTGTGGAAGCCTGTTCGAATAACTCGTGCTAGAACTGGGTCATCGCCGTAACATCTAACAGAAACGTGAATTAATGATGACGATGTCTGTGACTCTAAAAAAGGTTACATATACCTGGACACTATAAAAAAATGATTTTTAATTTTCTGCTTTTTCGTAAAGTACAAG